TGATCTCAAGTCCACAAGAATCTACAGCTTCTATCAACCTCTTGAATCCATCTCTTGTATGCTCCTGCGCAACCCGAATCGAGAAATCTTGCTCACCAATCTCATGGACTTCAATATTCACCTGAAAAGCAAAACCAGAGTGTGTGAGATTTTTACATGTCAGATATAGATGAATCTTGAAGACCTATGTTCGATACCTCGTTTCTGTTCACTTTCTTGTTGTGTTTAGAGGAAACTTTCGCAGCTTCTGGATTCGCTATTGCAGATTCTTCCTCTGCAGCTACATCTCTGCATTCAATCTCGTGTATTCCATTCAGCTCATCTTCGAGTTTCTGCTTCTTCACTAGCAGTTCATTGATGTAATCAACCGCATCACCGAGAATTCCAATTTTGTTCATCTGCATATAGCATCAAGAAATGGATTATAATCCTATCAAAAGTTCTTGATCACAAGAAGAACGATCCAGAAACCGAACTGAGTTTTAAAAGAAACCTTTGTGATTTTGGGGACTACGGCTCTTAGAGCATAAAGGCCTTGATTAATCCTATCTCTTCTTTTTCTCTCCGAATGAAGATTCTTCGATTTGAAGTTTTCTTTCGGTAGCTTCTTGTTAGCTTTGACATCTATGGTCTCTTGCGCGAGGATATCCTCTTCCTTGTTCGTAACCAAACACGGCGCTTGTTCCTCCTTGAAAACTTCCCTACAACGAGCATTCGGATAACTTCCGAAAATATTCTGAGTTTCACTGGAAAGATTGGAAACGCTTGATGATCCGCCACCGCCTTCAAAGCTGAGATTCAATCCGCTACTCATAGATTCCTCTGCTCTAGGAATGATTCTAAATTGCAGTTTTTGCTCAGGGAATGGTTCAAAGAAGGCGTTACAACGCGATATGATCAAATCAACCATGCTTTCATCAACAGGTTTCTGAAACAACCAATAAAAGGAGACACCATTATATGAAGATAACACACAAAAAACTAATGACTATGCCAAAATGCTAACTACATTTTTTTTACCATTATGAAGGAGAAAAGCTCAACTAGACCATCACTCACAGGAACAAGAACCCGAGTACTGAATATATCCTGCGGAAACAAAAAACATCGAGATCAGATCGTTCTTATGATCAAACCTGATATTTGCAGTTACAGTTGAAGCAAAGTGTTTTTTAATTTTACCTTTTTAGATCCTTGACCTGAATTAACCAACCATTTGGGAGATTTTGACATCACTACTTCTCCATGAATCCTGTAATATTGAAGAGGGGAGCTTAATATCATTTTTTCTAAATATTTAAGTAACAAAATCTCAAGGTTTAAATCGAATACATACCCGGGATAAAGAGGCATGAAGAGAGGAAAATGAGAAAGAGCTTCACAAGCTAAGGTTCTTATATGATGCTTGTTGTGTTCATCTCTGCATATAGAACCCATTTTCTTTCTCTCAACTTCTTCTTCTTCTGCATTTTCAAGCTTAATGTTCTTATCAATATAACAACCACTGCAGCAGCATCCAACCCATTCAATAAACCTGCGGATTAATTAGCTGAGTCAGAAACCAGAGAAGGCAAAAAACCAAGAACAGACAAAGAATAAATGTAATAAACTCGGATGCAAAGACAAAAACCCAGAGCCATGTCAAATCTTGTGTTACTGAATACACAAATTACCATGGAATCTCAACAATTAGAAGAGGCAAAAGACCCAAGAAAAAACAGCCAGAAATTAATCTCAAAATGGAAACTTTATAGACCAAAGCGATTCAGGAAACAAGGAGGAAGATTGAACAATAAAAGCCAAAGAAACAAAAATCCCAAATCCAGAAAGCAAGATTTAAAGATAAACACCAAGACTCATCACTCATACTCATCAATATAGCTGAGTGATTCATATGAACAACAAAAACCCAATAATAGAGAGTGTACCTAGAAGGATCATCACCAAGTTTCCAGATAACACAAAAGTCCCAAGCTTTGGAATCTACAAAGGGTCGAAGAAACTCCTTCACTCTCTCACCACCTCTCATCATCATCTCTCTCTGAAACTCTCTCACTCACTCTTCTGCTATAGAAACAAGGAAAGCTAAATAAAAAGCCTGACTTTTTGGTGAACTCTTTTGTTCTTACTTATAAATTGATGTAAAGAGAGAGAAAGAAAGATGTTTTGCATATACACAGCAGTTACTCTGTCAAAACAAATATTAACGCGAATATATGATCGTACAAAGACAATGGTAACCAACTTCGCTTTTTGAATTAAAACCCATTGAGAGAGAGATAAGGGTGAATCGTCTGCGAGTCTGTACCCAAATCCATGACAGAGATTTCTGACATCTGTAGAAAGG